GAAACATGTTGAGTGGAAGGAGCATGGTCAGCCCTTCTCTCTCAGTGGTGTGGCCACGGGCGGGTACCCTGCAAGTCTCCTCCTTGCCTGTGGAGGAGGAATGGTTTCCAGGGTGGTAAGGCCATGGGGTAGGACATGCCATGTGGCACTGCATGTGGCTCAGGTGCTCATGCTAGCAGGAGGTGGCGGTGCTTTGTGGCTGGTCAGGGTGTACCCCAGGATCCAGGGCCAGGGCCAGGGCCAGGGTGAAACTCTTCCTTTTTAAGGGAAGGGCTGGGACAGGGGTGAGAGAGGTGAGGGGAAAGGAGTGGGAGATACCAGGAAGGCTCCTCCCTCTGTGAGAGGAACATGCAGAGGGCCTGGGGCTGGCTGAAGGAGCTTGGCATCCCCRTTGTCTTGGCGGAATTTAGAACAGGGATCATTCTTGACAACGAGACAGGAAAGGACCCTCTGCATTCAGCATGATTTCTGCTTCTTGGTCCTGAACCTGAGAGTCAGCAGTGAGATGCCACCAGAAATTTCCAGGTGCTTGGTTTCCAGGTGCCCGTGGGTGCCCACTGTTAGGTTGGCCTCCTGGAGAGAATGGGCCACTGCGGTCCCAGCTTGTCCTGCACTGTTTTTCTTTGGGCTTATCTGACCTCTTAGAAGCTACTCAATCACCTGCCTATTTTTATCCTGTGCCCAGAGCCAGCCAGAGTGCTTGCTGCAGGAGTCGAGATGGGGTGAAGAGCCGTGGTCTTCCAACTCTTTGGTTTCTGAAGGTTTTTTCTCTTACTTTGGCTGTAGGTCAGGTTTCCCAACCTGGGCACTATTGATATTTGTGGCCAGATAGTTTTCTGTTGGGGGGGCGCCTGCCCTGTGCTTTGTAGGAAATTCTCATCCTCCTTGTTTCTGCCCTGGTGATGCCAGTAACCCCCCCCCCACTGTGACAATATAAGATGTGTCTAGACATCGTCCTGTGCCCCTGGGTTTTCCTCCCACCTTGCCAGGTTTGTACCTGGAGCTCTGAACCTCTGGCCTCAGCCACAGGAGCCTAGAYGCTCTACTTCCACTCTTGGGGTGGCTGCGACTCTTCCAGGAGGGGCAGGAAGCACTGACCAGCCAGTCAGTGGGCTTCCCCACTCGCCCCTCCTGGAAATGGGCACCCAGGACCCTCACTCCACATCGCTGGCGGAGCAGTTGTGGGAACCAGTGGCAGACTCAGGAAATCGAGGCAATAAGTGCAAGCCTGACTACACTTGGCTGCATTTGAGAAGGGTGCTGGGTGGACAGCAGGGTGGGGCTGCTATAACAAGACGCTACAGACTGGGTGGTTGCAAAAGACTCTTCCCGCTCAGTTCCAGGGCTGAAGTCCAGGGTCAGGGAGGATTCAGTGTGCACCCTGGGTCTGCATCATCTGCTCACTGGAGGTCCAGGTGTGGCTGCAGGAAACACGCCCCACTTCAGTCCCACCTGTGAGGGTGGGCTGTAGATCAACCCCGGAGTCCCCCCAGAGGAGAAGGGCACAGATAGCCTGTTTCCACAGGTTAAAACTGTCCCCACATCTCCTACTAAAGGCAGTCGCCGAGCTCCTTAATCAGAGGCCGGATCACTGCATGCAGTTGCCTGGGCACATGTCTCGCCCACCCAGAGCCGACCCAGCCGGCCGAGGAGTCCAGAGCCTCATCCTGGCCCTCTGTTCCCTCAACCTGTGGGGMAGGAAGGAGGAGGGCCACATAAGGCTCAGGGAACCTACCTCTGCGACTTCTACTTGCTTCTGGTTTTCTGTGTGGTTTACCAGGGAAAATGCACACGTGATATTCTTCTCTCTAAATGAAAATTTGGCATTAATGTTCCTTTTGGTTCAAGGCTTTTTTAAAAATATTTTTTAGTTGCAGATGGACACAATACCTTTATTTTTTATCTGTTCATATGTGGTGCTRAGGATGGAACCCAGTGCCTCACATGCACTAGGCGGGCGCTCTACCGCTGAGCCATAACCCAGGCCCTGGTTTAAGGTTTAATCACTCTTTTTTTACTTGGATATTTGTTTTTGTGAATATTGCTGCTAGTTTAATTTATTTTTACTTCTTAACTATCATTTCCAACTTTCCTTACTTAGGATGCCATAGTCAATCAGTTATACTGGTAGAGTGCGCGTGGGAGGGCTACCCTCAGCTCCATCCTGTCAGGCACTTGCTTTCAAAACAGGAACCTTTTGGTTTTGGTTTAGGTGTTTGTTTTTTCTTTTTGTTTTGCAGTACTGGGGATTGAACCCMGGGGTGCTCTACCACTGGGGATACTGAGCTGTATCCCCAGCCCTTTTATTTATTTTTTTTTCTTTTTTGAGATAGGGTCTTAGTATGTTATACGGGCTGGTCTGAAACTTGTGATCCTCCTGCCTCAGACTTCTGAATAGCTGGGATCCAGCTGTGTGCCACGGTACCTCATTTAAAATATGATCTTTTAATAGCATAGTAGGTTAAAAATTATAGCAGGGTAAAATCAGGGCATATGGTCATGTTATGTGCATGTGGTTTTTATGCTGCATTTTAAAATTTTGAATGACCTCAGATAGAGTCCTGGAGGTGGTGGGGCAAGTCCTCCTGGACATCAGTCACCGTTTGATCTGCAAGGTGGACAACACTGCTGGGCTCCCTCCTGGGTGCTCCTCTGGAGTGGTGCCCACCACCCCTCGGGGGCACAGCAATGTCAGATGGTGGCAATGTTCCGTCGGAAGAGTCTGAGATCAGTGCTGGAGGCCCAGATGTTCAGGGCTCCTCTGTGGCTGCTCCTGAACTGGGAGTGGTGTGCTTGTGGGCCCAGTGCTCAGGCACATGCTGGTCCCTTTGGGCGGTACTGTTGCTTTCTTCTGCAGCAGGAGGAGGAGCCAGGTGCAGGCTCCTGTGGCCCTCAGGCAGGTGGGAGTGGAGGGCAAGGGAGCCTTTGCCCAGTTCCATTCAGGTCCCTGTGGGGGCTGGAGAAGTGGACTAGAGTCACCATCACCATGATGCCAGAGTGTCCAACAGGTTCCTGATGTGCCCATCTGCTACCTGAAGGCTACACTTTGCAAACACTGAGCAGAATGGATTCCAGGCTCCTCAGTTCCAGTCCAATGTGCGCTGAGACCCTCCAGGGCCAAGCTGCCTTGGGAAGCCCTGTTGCTCCACAGGGTCTGCTGGCAGAGGCAGAGCCAGGTCACAGAGACTGGTGACCTCACTGTTAGAGCACAGCTGCTTCCTGCATCTCACCAGGCCTTCACTGTTACCAGGGCTGCAGGCCCCTGACCCCTGGGTCCAGCCTGGCCAGGGCCCAGCCCTGTGGGTGAGCTGGAGGTCACTGGGCTCCAGAGTCACGGTGAGTGGGCTCAGCCCCCGACAGTAACATCTGAGAGTTCTGATTCTCTGGAACTAGAGAGAGCTGTCAGGGGTTGTTCCCGGTCACTTGGGCAGATGAAGACTGACTAGAAGCCCCCGTGGCTGGCGGGCTCCAGTGGGAAGGTGCTGATTCTCTGGAGCAGGCCATTTGATGCCGCCTCACTTTGGAGGATGGTGTGCGGCTTCATCCCTGTAACCGGATACAGAGGAGAGTGAAGCCAGAAACTCGGCCCTCTTCCTGCTCCTCCCCGCCCAGCACTGCGCCTCCTGCTGCTCCGGGCCTCCCTCCAGGGGCTTCTTAGTAATGTATGGGGACAATCTTTCCAGTGATCCTCGTGGTGGGACGTGACCTCACCGGGCGTCCTGTGGCAGTGCGATGGGTTGCCATGCACATCACCAGTGCCGTGAGCTGGCACTCCCTAAAAAGGCATTCCCTGTGTCCAGGAAAGCTCTGCTAGGGTTGGTGGCACTCACCCAGGGGCTGAAGTCACTTGGACAGTTTGCAGAACATTCTCCGGTGTGGCTTCCCTGTTGGGGCAAAGCGTTTGAACTGGAGGAATTCAGGTGTATTAATAGACCCTGCCAGGTGCAATAAATAGCTGCCTTTGCCTGACCTTAACCTCACACGAGTGCCCGGCTTCTAAAGAGCCTTGCGCGCCCCCAGAGCAACTGGAACCATTGGAGGAGGGTGCTGGTGCTCAGGGGCCAGAAACAGGTCTCTAGTAACCACCAGGAAAGGTCAGAGATGTTCTGGGAACCAGAAAGCTCGGCCACACTGGCCTTTCTCCCCTCAGCGCTGGAGATGGAGCCCAGAGCCTCTGCGGACTGGGCAGGACTCTCCCGCTGAGCCACACCCAGCCCTCCACTGACTGAAGACCCACACCACTGTTCTGCCTGTGGGCTTCGCACACACTGCCCTTGCTCCACAGAAGCCTCACTTCTGCCTAGGGTCCATCTCAGGAGCCCACCTTGCGTCTCATTTTCACATGGCCTTCGGCTCCTCAATCCAAGAGAAGGTCTGGGCCTTTCTTGCCTTTCTTGACCTGGAACTTTTGAAGAATAGCAGTCGAGTATTTTGTGGAATGTTCCTCGATGGAGATTTTTCCAACTGAACTGAGTGAAGTACCAGGGGCACCTGAGAGCGTGACTTCTTAGGGATGCTGAGGACATGGCTGCGGGTCTCCCCACTGTCAGGCTAGTTTCCCAGCAGCCATGACCTGGAGGAAGGAGCATCACGGAATTCTGTCCCAGGGCTAAGCCATCTATGGGCTCAGTGAACTTGGGGAGAGCTGCTTGGACCTGCGCCCACCCCCTGCACCACCTAAAGCCTTTGGGTGGGACTGTACTCCCTTCTAGTGTGAGTGTCAAAAGCAGGGTGTTCAGAGTAACCTCTGACCCTGGGAGCAGGCCTTGGGAGGCCCTCGTGTCACTGTGGCTGGCCCCTGACATGGCCACTCCCTGGCCCCGACCACTGGCCTGGGCTGTTTCTCCTCACTCCTCTCTGCTGGGACCCACTGGTTCTCTGGGCCTCACTGACACCTTTTTTTTTTTTAATATTTTTTTAATTGTAGATGGACACAATATCTTTATTTATTTATTTTTCTGTGGTGCTGAGGCTGGAACCCAGGGCCTCACACCTGCAAGGCAAGTGCTCTGCCCCTGAGCTACAGCCCCGGCCCCTTTTGCTAAGTGCTTTAAGTGCTCTGCTCCCCTCCCCTTCCCACCCCACACTGTCCCCACTTCTCCCCTCCACACCAGGTCAGTGACAGAAGGATGGTGCTGTCCCCAGCGGCTCCGAGCTCAGGCTCCCCTTTCTGCAGCCCGGAGAGGGGCGCTCTGGCTCCTGCTGCCATGGAAACCAGAAGACTTGGGAGGGCACTCTGCTATGGCATCTTTGTTTGGGGTGAGGGTGGTGATGGCTGAATGCTGGGGATGTTATTGTTTTAATCAAGCACTTACACGATGGGCCAAGGACGATGGCCTCCTTCACCTTAGCTCACGCGTTCCCTCAACCTGAGATGGAGCTTCACTCTCCATGATTTATTATGAACCGCCACGCCCGGAATCAAGCCCAGGGCCTCGCGCTCCCCTGAGCCTGTTCCCCAGGCCTGGGGTGCTTTGGGAGGGTGGCATTGATAAGACACCCAGCAGCATCCAGCAGGCGCCTGTGCCAGAGCACGTTTGGCCCATTACCCCCAGAAAACCACTTCTGGGGGGGCACCCATTGTTTGCCAGGTCTCTTCTGATTTCTGCTACCAAGATGAGCAAAGACAGGGTGTTTGGTGGAAGGAAGGGAAATGCAGCATCTTTTAGTGACATCCTAAGTGACCTTGAGCAAAGGCGTGAGGAAGGGAAAGCAGCTGTAGCGACTGCTCAGGTACAGTCCTGGTCGAGGAGCATCACAGACGGGCATGTCCTCTGGGTCCCCGGAGCCCTGGGGGTCTCGCCCCCTCGCCCTGCCCTCGTCCTCCCTCCTGAGGGAACCAGTGCCCCCGCTGCTCTAACTTCACTCTGTCACTTGCTGTAGGAACCTGCAGGAAGACTGGCAGCGGCAGCCGCTCACGTGCGCCCTGGGTGAGTGTGTGCCCTGAGCTCTGCCCTTGGACCCTCAGCTAGATCTTCACATGGCACGGGGAGGAGGTGGTGCAGGGAGAAGGCGCCTCCTGCCCTAGATCTCCACGTGGAAGTCCCAACCCTCCTGCAGTGGACAATGGGGCCCTAAGAAAGAAATTAGGGTTAAACGAGGTCATAAGGGTGGCTCGGGGATGRGGGAGATGGCTGTCCCTTGTGGGGAGACGCCTGCGAGCTCTCCCTGGCTCTGCTTGTGCGTGAAGAAGAGCTCACGGACACACAGGAAGAAGGCAGCCGTGTGCAGGACAGGTCTGCTGGCCCCTCAATCGTGAACTTCCCCAAACTGAAGAAAATAAATGTCTCTGTACGGGCTGCCAGCCTGCGGCATTTTACTGAAGCAGCTTGAGCTAAGACGGGTGGTTACTCTCATCCCCACGTAAGTTGAGGAAACTGAGTCGTAGAAAGGCAGTCGCAGGCCGTGCTGATTTCCCTTTGCTGCTCCGGCTTTGGCCACCCGTCTGAGGTGCGGAGTCCGCGCAGCTCCCTACGGTGGTGATTTCATTGTGAACCTACCCCGGGCTGCTCTCTCCTGGCCTCCTTTCCCTTGCTGCTATTTCTCCTCTGGATTTCCTCTCTCCAGGTCCATCTTCCACAGTCCTTTAGGTAAGAGTGCAGTAAAAGACTCCCAAGCCTCGGAAGCCTAGCGCTGCCCACACCAGCTGTCCGCCATGGGGCTGTGCTCTCCACACTCCCTGGGTCCCGCCCCCTGGGATTCGCTCCCACAGCCCCTGCTGCCCATGCCTGGCCCTTGGCACTTCTGCCCAGACCTGGCACGTCCTTTCCCAGTGCAGAGGGCAGGGAGAGAGGGGGACTCCTCTAGCCCGTGTGAGCTTGTGCAAAGCAGAAAGGGGGGCCTGCCTGCCATCACAGGCCTGGGAAGGAGAGGCTGCCCTCCCTCTGGTGGGTGCCTGGCTGGGCTGGGAGCAGCGCTGGTTCTGTCCATGACCCATGCAGGATGCTGCACACCCACCATGGCGGCCCTGGTTCTGAGCACACTCCAGTTCACCTAGCAGCACCAGGGCCAGCCACAGGGGAAGCCACAGCGGTCTCATGGTCCCGAGGTCCCCGCAGTGGCTCTGCCTTAGCCTGGTGTTCTCCCAGGTCTGACAGTGGACAGAGGTGCCGGCTGTCCCTTCCCGGGGTGCCTTCACATGTGTCTTCATGCAGCTGGGGCTGGTGGGGCTGAGCTCCTACAGGGGAGCCACATCTGCCTGCTGATCTCTCCAGGTCTCTGGGAAGAGCCGCCTTTTCTTTGACGTTCTGAAATCTGAAGTGCCAAGGACAGCTTCTAACTGTGGCCGCCTCTGACCCTGAACCCATGCCAGGCTGTAAGAGCTCTGGTCTCTGTGTTTGGCTGTCTTTATTTGGGTCCTAATGCGACATTCATTTTATTCCCATGTTCAAGCTGTATTTGAGTGACCTAAGTCTTCCCCGCTGGCAGCAGATGGAGGCCAGCCGGAGCCCCACCCGTCCTGGATGCCCAGTGCGCCCACGTGGTTCAGGAATGCTGGGGACTGGAAATAGCGCCCGCCGGCTGCCCGTGTTCTCCTGGCAACGGCCGTTCTTTCTCTACACCCTAAGGCTGCTCTCTCTTGATTCTAGGGATTTTTAAGAATCGTGTGGCAGCACATCAAAGGCACGTTGTTTTACAAGTGTCCGCCGTCCCCCGGTGTGATGGACGCCGCCCGTCGGGATATCCGCCCCCTGCGCTGGGCAGGTCGGGCAGCCTCGACTTTTCTTGGTCTCTCTTTCCTTCCTGTGACCAGCCACTGGGTCATTCCTGGGAATCCTCCCCACCTCCATCCCAGCAGGAGCCTTCCGACCTGGGAGGGAAGTGGAGCCTGTGTCCCTGGACAGGAGGTCCCCTGGAAGCAAGACGTGCAGGGAGGCAGGAGAAGCACGCTGTGGTCCGCGACCCCTCACGGCTCCTGGGGTCCCTGAAAGTCCCTCACCTGTTCAGGATCTGCCCTTCTTCTTTCTGGTGTGAGCAGCAGCACTGGTCAGTTCAGTTGTTCTGCCCCGAGGGGGCAGATGTTGGGGCCGGCCTGACTGCGGGTTGCCTCACATCTGTGGTCAGCGCAGCAGCTGCCCGGGTCTCTGTGGGCCTCTGGAGCAGGAGGAAGGCTGGGGCATGGTTTGGAAGCACCTGGTCCCAGCATCAGACCCTGCTTAGCTCAGAGCTGGCCCGGCTAGGGCCCAGCCAGGCCAGGCCTCTCCCCTCACCCAGAGTGAGTGGGGTGGGTGGCCACACCCAGCGGCAAGCCCTGCCCATGGGCGAGTAGAGGTGGACCCTGGGTCACACGCGTAGGTTTCCATTTTGGTTTTGTTTTTCCAAAAAGAAGGTGACTTTCTTCAGGCTGCCGCCACAGCAGGGCATGCAAGTCGGGCCTGTTTTGCATTTTGTGTTGTCCTCTCTCTCTGCCATGGTTGGGACATCACAGGCGACGCCGCCCTGGCCGCCCCAGCCCTCCGTGCACCACTCGGGCCCAGCAGTGTTTAGGTGGTTCCCGCATTCACTGGTCCTCCCCTGCCCGGCCCCGACCGATGCCGACACAATGGTGCTGGAGAGGTGAGAGGCCCTCGCCCCAGCACCTCGCTGCCCGTGTCCGTCCATCCACCATGCACACCCCCACTGAGCTGCCCCACTCTGGGACTTCCCCAGGCATGGGGGGCTCTGCAGTGCACAAGCAGACCAACCTCTGTAACCTGAAGACAAGCCACCGCACAATGGCCAGGGCCGCGAGGGCAGGTGGGGTCAGAGGGCACCAGGGAGGTGGCTGCTGTCTGTCAGGTGCTGGGGAGGACTCCCAGAGAAGGTGGCCCCTGGACAGGGAAACAGCAGGCGCAAAGGCCACAGGGGGACACTCTCCCCGAGTCCCAGCGGGGAGACCCTGTGACTGAGGGGAGTGACCCCGGGGAGAGGGAGAAGTGAGGGTGGAGAGGTGGTGGGGCAGAGCCCCTGGGGCGCCCTAGGCAGCTCTAAGGCCTGAGCATGTCCTCCTCCATAGCCTTGGGAGGCTGTGGAACCGCTCGGCCACCACGGGCCACCACGGGCCACCACGGGCCACCAGCAAGGCGGTACACCACAGGGCCCAGGTCTGCCTTCCAAACTGACCCCTGTGTGAGTGGCTGTCACCTGCCTGAGCAGGTCAACAACAGGAGGCCAGTGCCCCTGGGAAGGAGCACCCCACACACCAGGGTGGGGCGGCTGGAAGTCACTCCTGACACGTCTTCTGCTGGCAGAGCCACGGGGCTTGCCGACGGACCAGAGGTGGGACGCAGAGAGACGTCACAGATGAGCCAGGGCTTTGCTTGAAGGACCAATGAAGAGATGTTGAGGTCTGGCCTCGCCAGTCTGGGTGACGGAGTCAAGCTGGGTTTGGGGAGCCCCGCTGCCCCTGCCTACAGATCTGCTCTCTGTCCCCACGTCCCACTGGAAGTGCTCCCAGGCGTGGACTTGAGATTGGTGAGCTCCAGAGACTAGCTCCCTGTTCCTAAGTGGGCGTTAAGATGATCATATGACAGGGGCTGGGGCTCAGCGGCAGAGCACTCGCCTGGCAGGAGCACGGCGCTGGGTTCCATCCTCGGCACCACATAAAAATAAAACAAAGGTACTGTGTCCAACTACAACTAAAACAAAATGAAAATACAAAGATTATATGACACATTTCACGCTCTAGGTTGGAAGGCCTTTTCCTGTGAAACTTGTCCAGTGAGGAGGCTGTGCCAAGAGTCCCACCCAGACTCCGGAGGGGCTTGCCGTATTTCTTCATCTTGCTCACGTTTCCTTTTTTCTTTGCCCATAATATTCTAGAGCAAATTCCCGGGGTCACGTCGCTTTACCATCTGCTTGTCTAAAACAGACCGTTTTCTTACATAAGCACAGTGCTTTCACCCTTAACAAAACGGGTTGAATTCCTTGGTATCATCTGATACCTAAAACAAATAAAAAGTTCCTAATTACCTCAAAAATGCTTCTCCGTAGTCTTCTTGAACCGGTGTCTGCACGMAGTCCACACGATCCAGGGGGGATTCTGCCTCTGCATCTGCTGCTGCCTAGAGGTGGCCGTCAACTCTCTCTTGGGGCCATGTCACTGTCCTCCTCCTCACTGCATTTCCTGTAAGAGCAAGTTAGCTCTTAAACTGTGTGTCCATCGGAAATGGAATGTGAGCCCCAGATGCAATTTTTTTATTATATTAGTATATATTAGCCACATTTTTAAAAGGTAAAAATAGGTCAAATTTTATGTAGCACAATGTATCAAAACAGCATCGTTTTACATGTAAACAACATGAGAACTATTAATGAGACATTTTACATTGTTTCCCTGGTGCTAAGCTCTAGGAATTGGGAGTTTGTACACAGGCCGCGTGTCACTGTGGCTGCCCCGTGCTGCCTGTCTCTGTGGCTGCCCCCATGCTCGGAGCCTCAGTTGCAGGGCAGTGCCGCTGAGCCACCCCGCCAGGCTCTGGTGTGCCTCTCCCTGGTAGGGGCACAGGCTGCATCCTGTCACGTCCCTGGGAGGCTCGGTAGCCCACCTCTAGTGGAATCATTTCTGTGCACATGGGGACAGCAGACCTCCAGGGGAGCTGCGGAGCCCCTACTTTCTGAGGTGGGAAAGCAGAAGATGAGGGACCTGGGGTTCCACTCGGCACAAGTGGGGCTTGAACWCCTTCTTGACTTCCGAGGGGAGGGTCGACGGGCAGCAGGATCTGCGCCTGGATCTCGGGAGTGAGATTGGGCCAGAGAGAGAATTTACTGATGCTGTGGGCTGGATAAGGTCACTGAGAGAACAGGCCGACAGTGACCTAAAGAGCCAGCAGAGGCACTGGGCACTGTCCCCGAGGCCAGGTGAGGAATGTATTTGAAGCAGAGAGGGCTCAGCTGTGTCATCTAACACCCAGGGGTCAGGAAGGTCAGGGTGAGGAGTGCCCGCAGGATGTGGGGCACCTGGGCAAGGGCTGGCTCTGTGGGGTGACCAGGGAGAGCACCTGTGTGGGGCAGGTGTGAGAGAACGGGCTCCTCAAGAGGCTGAAGATAGAGTCACCATGTGACCCAGCAACTCCACGTCCAGGTATATATCCAAAAGATGGAAAGCAGGGACTCGAAGGGCTGTCTGTACCCAGCGTTCACAGCAGCACAGACACCAACAAGCTACTGAGAAAGAAATCAACAAAACAATCCACTTCAGGAGCTACAGAAAATCATAAAATACTTAGGAATAAGTTGACCATGACCAGAAGATCTATGTGCTGAAATTATAGAAGATGGGTGAAAATTTGAGGGCGAGCCAGGCACGGTGGTGCACGCCTGTAATCCCAGTGGTTCAGGAGGCTGAGGCAGGAGGATCCCGAGTTCAAAGCCAGCCTCAGCAAAAGCACAGGCAGCAAAAGCAGAAATAGACAGGTGGGAGTAAATCAAACTAGAAAGCTTCTGTACAGCAGAGGAAACCAGCAGCAGAGTGGAGAGAGAGCAGAGGAGAGATACCTGAGAAGCACACAGCTGACAAGGGTCAGTGTCCAAGGTACACATAATGAACTCAACTCAGTGAGATTCCGTCTCTAAGTAAAATACAAAATAATAGGTCTGAAGATGTGGTTCAGTGGTGGAGTGCCTCTGAGTTCAATCCCCAGTACCCACCACCCCCCCACCAAAAAAAAAATATATATATACAAGAATTTGAGGAAGACATAAAGAGATGGAAAGATATCCCATATTCATAGGTTAAAAGAACTAATGGTGTGGAAATGTCCGCACTGCACAAAGCACTCAACAGACTTAGTGCAATCCCTATCAAAATTCCTATGACATTCTTCACAGAAATAGGAAAAAAAAAATCCTTAAATTTGCACCAAACCACAGAAGACCCTGAATCGCCAAAGCAATCTCTAATAAAAAGAAAAAAGCTGGAGACATTCATCACCTTATTTCAAAGTTGGCTACATGTTCATCAAAACAGCGTGATACTGGCCTAAAGTCAGGCACAGAGGCTAGTGGAATGGAAGGGAGAGTCCAGAAACAGATCCACTCATTTACAGTCAATTGGCTTTGACACAGATGCCAAGAAGACAGTATGGGGAGAAGGAAAGCTGGGTACACTCAGGCGGGAGAATGAAACGAGACCCCAGGGCCCACGCCAGCATCTGCCGTAAGTGGACTGGAGGTTTCCACGTAGGACCTGGACTGTGAAGCCACTAGAAGAAGTTGGGGACGGTGCAGAAATGGACAGGAGGGATTAGATCAAACAAGAAAGCTTCTCACAACAGAGGAGGCCACCAGAGTGGATGGGCCAGGCACCACAGAGCACACCTGGAATATGCTGAGGAAGGAGAGTGGCAAGTCCAAGCCTAGCCTGGACAAGTTAGCAAGACCTTGTCTTCAAATAAAATAAAAGAGGGACTCAGTGGCAGAGTGCTGGCACCATGCCTGAATGACCTCACCGGTGACTTCTCAAATATGCAAGGCCCTGGATTCAATTCCCAACACTGAAGAAAAGAAAAAGGAAAGAAAGGAAGAAAATAAAAAGGTTAATACTACATCATGTGTACTTTACCACAATTTTTTTTAAAAAGGTGAGAGAGGAGTGGGAAGCTGAGGTGGGGCTGTCCTGTAGGGACAGTGTGCAGAGAGGGAGCATGAGTGCCCCTGGGCATGGACGTGAGAACATGGGTCCTGGGCTAACCCTTAAGTGATCAGCGACGCCCAGCATGGGGTGCAGCTGCACAGGAGAGCAAGGGCCATCCTTGCTCCCTGAAAGTCATGAAGTTAAGGAAGGAGAACACCTGTCTGGGCTACTTTTCCACCTAGACTTGATCTTCTTTTCAGCGCTGGGGGTGGAGTCCAGGCGCTGGCCATCACTGGGCAGGTGCCCCACCACTGAGCTGCACCTCCAGCCAGCCAGTGGCCTCTGGGGGTTTTGTTTGTTGTTTTCTGTTAAGGAAATGGTGTTTTATTTAAAAACACAAAGAAACCACCATGCCCGAATGACCTCACCGGTGACTTCTCAAATGTTATGGACTGGAGGCTGGGGTCTGGCTCCACGGTAGGGGATGTACTTAGCACGCCCAAGTCCTGGGGTTCCATCCCCAGCACCAAGAAAAGATAACGGAAGAGGCAGCATCAGTATCGCACAGACCCTCAGTACCAGTAAGAGGAGCCAGGGGGCGCCACACAGCTTCCAGGGGGGGCTGAAGCCTTCCAGGGGGCCATGCAGGGGGCCACGCAGCAGGCCATGCGGAACAGATGACGGCACGCAGCCTCCTTCTCCACGTTTTTCTTGGTAGGGAGAGCTGTCCGCAGTGGTAGCACCTGGTGTCACACACTCCTACATGCACTCCGAGTAACGGTAGGATTTGGCTGATAAAAACAGATTCTGTGGGGTGATGAAAGTGCCCGACATGGGCTTGTGTAGCTTCTCTGTGAATTCACTACAAGTCTTTTTTATTTAATTTTAATATTTATTTTTTAGTTCTCGGCGGACACAACATCTTTGTTTGTATGTGGTGCTGAGGATCGAACCCGGGCCGCACGCTGCCAGGCGAGCGCGCTACCGCTTGAGCCCCATCCCCAGCCCTCACTACAAGTCTTGAATTACACACTTGAAGTGGATCAATTTTCTGGCGTAGGAACTGTCCCTCTGCCGCTGTCCTCAGGCACTGGCCCACGGGCACCCCGGCTCCTGCCACCCTCTCCCCCTGCCCTCCCTGCTCCCACCCTGCACTGGGCCTGGGCCGGGAGGTGGCCGTGGCGTGTGGCAGCACAGGGGCCTGGCCTGGACCAGGGTCTGGACTTTGTCCCTGAGCCTGGGGGCCGCGGGTGGGGCATGCGGGGTGGTCACTGGCCGGGGCAGATGTGGCAGCAGCCGTCCCACCGTGCGGACTGCAGGGCCCGGGCACCGGGCTGGATGGAGGGCAGCTGTCACCCGCAGGACCCCATGGCTCAGTGCATCTCGGCCATCGCTGCTCTCCGGGTCTCCTTCATTTGAAAACGGCGATTGGCAGGTGCCAGGGCTTGCCTAGCCTCCCGGCCTGCCCTGAGGGCGGCCGCTCTGCTCCACCGGGCAGTGCCCGCGGGGGTCTTGCAGTTCCCGCTGCTTTCACCTTCAGCAAGGCTCTGCTGTTGAGGGAGAGTTGGTGCATTCCCAGTAAAAGCAACCCGACCATTTTAGGGTGACTGACTCAGAGGAAGTGCACCTTAATCTGGAATGCCACGGGCTGGGATTGGGCTGTACTGGCCTCGACAGTAGGCTGGTGTGTCCCCCAACAGGTCTAATGTCCAAGGCATTCCGTGGGTTTTCATTGTTTATAAGGAACTTTTTGAAAACCGTTCAGAGTGTCTGACACATTAAACGCATTTTAAGTGTTAGTCACTGTTTTCAGATGTGAGTCACTAATTTAGAAAGCCCTGTCTGTGAGGCCCGCCCTCTCCTCTGGGGGACTCAGCAGGGACGCCCAGGGCCTCCACTCCCCCGCTGGACTTCCTGCTCTGAGTGGGGCTTGGGCCTGGTCCCTGAACAGTGTGTTCTGTGCAGACTTAATGATGACTACCCAGGGCATGGCAGTCAAAGAGTGTTTCAAAATCCCTGTGCAGCAAGAGCGGACAGCCCTTTCAGTGTGCTTTTCCCTTAACAGACTCAAGGTGAGCCTTGCGCCTCCGCAGACACCCACCTCCCAAGGGAGAAGGCTTATGTTTGTCTGTTGGTTTGCAACACTGGACATTTAGCCCAGGGTGCACCACCACTGAGCTGTACCCCAGCCTGTTTTTATTTTGAGACTGTCTGGCCAACTTGCTGAGGCTGGCCTTGTACTTATGATCCTCTTGCCTCAGACTCCCAAGTGAGAGGGTTTGTGTTTAAATGAATGATTGGCATCTGCAGTTTTTCTAAGAAA